GCCCTGTGAGGTTCTGGCTTTTAATTCGCATGCAACTGCTTGCTGGCTATCATTTCCCCAAGGGCCCTGAAGAGCTAGTGGGCACTTGCCCTGCTTTCTTCTTCCAACTTGCTCCAACAGGACAACCAATAAATAATACAGAGAGATCTCATGTAACTTGCCCAGTTTCCCTGACGGCAATAGCTTGCAAAACCATAGCGCAGTGGCATGACCAGGATATTGGTATTGATAAAATCAAGATTTAGAAAATTTCCATCACCACAAAGATGCCTCCCCTTGCCCTTCTATAGCCAGTCACCTCCCTTACCCCATCCTCGACTTCTAGCAACCACTAATCAGTTCTCCATTCTGTAATCTGAATATAAATGGAACCATGTACTGTGTAATCTTTTCAATTTTTTTATTTGAGCTGATATACAAGGATGCATTAGTTTCAAGTGTACAGCGCAGTGATTCTGTAAGTTCATATATTATATGCTCACTGCAAGTGTAGCTACCGTCCGTTTCCCATACATCACTATTATGACATCATTGACGATATTCATTATGCTGTTTGACTAATTTATTCCATAAGTAGAAGCCTGTATCTCCTCGTCCCTTTCACCCATTTTACCCAACCCCCCGCTACACACACACACACACACACACACACACACTTTTCTCCCCTCTGGCAACTGTCGGTTTGTTCTCTGTATTTATAGGTCAAATTCTGCATTTTATTTGCTTATTCATTTGTGGGTTGTTGTTTTTTTTAAGATTCCACACATGAGTAAAATCATGCGGTGTATTTGTCTTTCTCAGTCTGACTTATTTCACTTAGCCTAATACTCATTCTGTTCATCCACATCTCAAATGGCACATCTTCTCCTTTTTACGGCTGTGTAATATTTGTTGCAGGAATATACGACATCTTCCTTGTCCATTTGTCGATGGACACTTAGGTTGTGGAACCTTTTGTTGCTGGCATTTTCATTCAGCATAATTCCTTAAGACTCATCCAAGTTGTTGCATGTATCAAGGTTCATTCCTTTTTATTGCTGAGTCCCTGGTATGTGTATATAGTGCAGTTTGTTTAACCATTTACCCGTGCAAGGATTTCCATGTTGTTTCCTGCTTTTGGTTATTTACGAATAAAGCCACTTGGCACTATGGCCAAGTTTCATTTCTCTGCGATGAATAACAGGAGTGCAACTTGCTAGTATAGTAGTTGCATGTTAAGTTTTTGTTTTATTTTATTTTTTAAAAGATTTATGTATTTACTTCACTGGGGGGGGGGGGAGGGAGCGTAGTGGGAGGGGCAGAAGGAAAGAATCCTCCAGCAGGTTTCACCCCAAAGCAGAGGTCCCCTCAGGACCTAATCCCAGGCCTCCAAGGTCGTGACCTGAGCCAAAACAAGGAGTCAGACGCTCAGTTGAGTGAGCCACCCAGCTGCCCCACATGTTAAGTTTTTAAAGAAATTGCTAAATAGTTTCCCAGACTGACTGTATATGTTTGATCTCACAATATACAAGAGTAGTTTCTTTGCTTTTTTGTCAGCATCTGGTGTTGTCACTATTTAGCCCTTTGATAAGTATGTGTATTAATATCTCCTGGTCATCTAATTTGCATTTCCCAAATGGCTAATTATGTTGAACATCTTTTATGTGCTTGTAGCCATCTGTAGATCCTCTTTGGTGAAATATCTCTTCGTGTCTTTTGCCCATTTTTTGATTAGTTACTATTTCCTACTACTAAGTTTGGAAGCTTCTTTACATAGTCTAGACACTAGTTTTTTTGTCACATATATAGTTTGAAGTATTTTTCTCCCTGTCTATAGCTTGCCTTTTCATCCTTGTTAACCAGATCTTTTCTAAAACAAAAGTGCTGAATTTTGTTGAAGACCAATTTATTAGTTTCTGTTTTCTAGGTTGTGTTTTTATGTCAGATTTAAGAACTATTTGCCCAACTCTAGATCCTGAGGACTTTTCTCTATTTTTTTCTACAAGTTTTATAGTTTTATGTTTTATGTTTAAGTCTGTGATCCATTTCAAGCCAATGTTTGATAAAGTGAATCCTTTAAGACTATTCCATCCTTGCAGATATCCTTTAAGAATGTTTTTTGTACATATTGATTAGTGTTCTTAGTACTTAGTCCATATTTTGTATGAGTAGTAGCTTTAAGATTAATTAGGGCAGCCCAAGTGGCTCAGAGGTTTGGCGCCTGCCTTCAGCCCAGAGCGTGATCCTGGAGACCCAGGATCGAGTCCCACATCTGGCTCCATGTATGGAGCCTGCTTCTCCCTCTGTCTGTGTCTCTGTCTCTTCATGAATGAATAAACAAAATCTTAAAAAAAAAAAAAGATTGAGTAATTAATTGAATAATGTTAGTGTCTTCTTTTCATTTTGAGCCTTGTTCTCTTGATGGTAAGAAAGTGCCACACTCATGATGTGATGAGCACTGGGTGTTAGATGCAACTGATAAATTACTGAACCCTACATCTGAAACTAATGGTGTACTATATGTTGGCCAACTGATGTAAATAAAATAAATAAATAAAATTTTTTTAAAAAAACCAAAAAAATTTTAAAGTGCCACATTAACATATACATGAGATTCAGTGTTCCGGGTTTGTGATAAAGAGTTTATGGAAAAAAAAAAAAAGAAAAAAAAAGAGTTTATGGGATGACCACTCCTCTAACATGATAAATCAGTCCAATAAATATTGAATGCCCACTATATCTGGGCCCTACTATGGCCATTAAAATATGGCTTCTCCTTGGGAGCTAACAGTGTGATGAGGGAGTTAGAGACAAAATTCATTCATTTCAGTGTACCGTTCAGTGTTGGAATCAGTTTAGTATGATGGCTAAGAACTCAGGCTCTGGATTCCATCAGTTTTCGATGGAGTCCTGGCTTCTTGGCTATCCCACATGGATAAGGTCACCTCGCTTGTCCTTACTTTCCTTACTTACAGTATGGACATTATAAGGTTGTTATGAGGATTGGAAAATACATGTAAAGTTCTTAGTGTAAAGTGCCTGGCACAGAGTGAGTACTTTTATTAAATGTTAGCTGCAATGACCGAGGTAGAGATGAAGGTAGGAGTAGACAGGGAAGCAGGGGTACTGGTCTATGTGGGCCAAGGTGTTTTGGTCACATAGAGAGAGGGGCAGTTATCCTAGAGGTGAATACTTCTGAACTGAACCTGCAGGATTGAAAGAGGACGTCAGCTACCTCCATTTTGGCCTGTCAGTGCCTTAGAATTGATTAAGTTCTTTCCAGTTTATCTCTTAGCTCAGGCCAAACACCCCTGCAAGCAAAGCATCCCGTGATGGGAACCAGAACTGCCCCCTCGAGCAAAAAGGTGTGCCCTGGCGTCAGCAAGACCCCACGTGATGGGCCCCAAGACAATGATCTTTACTGCTTACTTACATATACCCACCAGACTTTGTCCCACATTTTCCTTATATAAACCTAGAAGTATTTTCAGCACTTTGGAGATAGTCTTTGAGACACTAGTCTGCCGTCTTCTTGGTGTTGGCCTTGCCGAAATAAATTCCTTTCTTGTTACACCACCACTCTCTGCCTTTGGATTTTGTCAGCAGTGAGTGGCTGAACCTAGTGTGTTAGGGAACCCTGGAGCCGGGGGGCCCTTGCACCCCTGCAACCCCAGTTACAGGATGACTAAGATTTAGCCAGAAAAAGAAAGGAAGGAAAAGCATTCGGGAAAAACAGAATAATGTGGACAAAGGTATAGGAATGAAAGATTGTGTACAAGTATATATAGTACAGCAAGCAGTTATTAATAGAACTTGAAGTAGGAATTGGAAAGCGAGACGTGGCTAGAGAGGGAGGCAAGGACCAGGTCATGGAAGATGTTGGATTTTTTCCTAAGCAAAAGGAAGGCATTAAAGAGCTTAGGAGAAGAAAATGTCATAATCAAATTTGCATTTCTAGCTGCAGAGTGAAGACTGCTTTGAAGTGGAGGACATGACAGTTCAGTTGAGAGGTGAAGGCCAGAATCAGGGCCATAGTAACTGAGAATGGAATGTCATCCTTGTCCTTTTTTGTTTTGTTTTGTTTTTGGTCATCTGAAAAACCACTGTTGCAGGTGCCTGGCTGCTTCAGTCCGAAGAGCATGCAACTCTTGATCTCTGGGTTTATGAGTTCAATCCCCACACTGGTGTGGAGATTACTTAAAGTCTTAAGAAACAAATAAACAAACAAAAAATTCCCGTTCAATTCAGAGCTTCAGTTGGAGAAGCAGATGAGCCTCAGGTTGTAGGGTGTGTGAGAGTGGAAGTCTTGTAAATGAAGACTCTAAAAAGTCGTATCCAAGACCGGCTATAGTTCCTCTGGGTCAGGCTACTACGACTGAGTGGTCCTTTCTATTCCTCTAGGTTACATAGGATTTCTTAAAATCACCCAAATCATATAGATCCACCTAATAAAACACTCACGTTTTTGTTTTTTTTTTTTTTTTTAATGCACGAACTTGGAATGAAAATGGATAAAGGGGAAGGAAAAAATTAATAAAACGTACATCTAAGAGAAAGAAATTTGATTCCAACCTACATTTGCTAAAATCTTTATTTATATCTTTATTTTCCCTCCTCGTTTAAGAAGGTTTAACAATGTTAACCATAATTTTCTTCTTATATAAAGCTAAAAGGTAAAAAAGCCTAAGGAATTCAATTGTATCCTAGTCACTACTATTTTATATTCTTCTGTGCCATTTCATTTACTACTGTGAGAAATATTCTAATTGTTCAAATTAGCCATAGTGCAAATCCTGTGGAACAGAGCTGCATCCGTTTCGTAGACTCTGAATGTGCGAAAGCATAGCTGACTAAAGATATACAACCAGAATAAATTAATGGTTTGGGATATTACAAAGAACAGTGATATTTTTCTTTTGTGTGTGAATGCCTAAACAGCTTTTGAGTTATAACTTATACTACATATATATAATTCACCTATTTCAAGTGCGCAATTTAATGGTTGTTCATTTCTTTGACAGGGAAAAAAAGATGTGACCCAGATATTTAACAACATCCTGAGAAGACAGATAGGCACTCGGAGTCCAACTGTGGAGTACATTAGTGCTCATCCTCATATCCTGTTTATGCTCCTCAAGGGGTAGGTACATGGTTCCCTTTAAAGTAGGCTTGAGTATAGAATAGTTGTTAAAAGTACACAGCACTGGGTCGCCTGCGTGGCTCAGTTGGGTAATAAGCATCTGACGACTCTTGATCTCAGCCCAGGTCTTGATCTCAAGGTTGTGAGTTCAAGTCTTGGGTTGGGCTCCATGCTGAGTGTGGAGCCTACTTACCAAAAAAAAAAAAAAAATGAGGTATTAGCCTCATTTGAGGTGTGATGGGTTCTCTTTTGGAATCACGGTGAACTATTTGCCATGCTTGAGGTCAGCCCTCCAAATCTCTGTCTCTGTGATTACTTAGGTTACAGTAAATTCTTTTCTTTGCATCTTTGTGTCTAAATAGAATTCAAATAAATAAATAAATAAATAAATAAATAAATAATAATAAGTAATAATTCCTTCCATTTACTGTTTCTTTGTCCTCTAGTTTCCTGTTATCTCTATCTCTGCCTATTATTACCCTTGCTTCCCAATCTTCCCTTTTCCTAGCTACTCAGTTCCCTTTTTGCTGTTTGCCTGAGGCCAAATCCCCTGACGCTGATCCTCATTACACACACACACACACACACACACACACACACACACACCTTCCAGTGGCTAGCATCTGCCAAGGCGACATGCTTCCATGTGGGGATAGACTAATATACAGGGGAGCCAGAAAACTAAAATCCAGTCAAATAATAGAATCTTTGGGGTTTTTTTGTTTTTATTTTGTGCATATACTCATTTACAAATGTTTCTTAGGCATTCTGAGGCCTTTCTAACTCCTGAAGATCGGAGATCTAAATATCGGAAGGCTTGGGGAGAGCAGACTGCCTTCTTCCTCCCCTGCCCTGTCTTTCTACTCCACAGTCTCAAACCTAGCATGCTGTTCCGTACCTAGTCCATCTCATCTCTGTTCAGTTCCCATTTCCTCTCTCACACATTTTAAAGTATTTAACTGTATAAGGTCATACATAACACCTAGTTTAAAAATCAGGTATATCAACCCACGGCAGCTTTTTGCGTCTTCTTTCTCCATTCCTTAGTCCCATTGCCCAGAGACAACCACTTTCATCTCTTTTGTTTGTTCATCTGGTATTTACCTCTAAATTTCAAAGAATGAACTTAATACTAATCTTTCAGTTTGTCAGTTTTAAAAACAATCTTTTGATCTTCTCATAGACTAAGATAGTCCTTTTCTTTATTTTCCTTCCTCTTTTCCTCCCAGTGTCCTTTTTATTTTATTAATATTTATTTATTTTATTAACTTTTTATTTTATTAAAACTCACATTTAAATTATCATGGCTATATAATTATTATTTGTTCCTGTGATTACTTTTTTTTTTATTTTGGTACAAAATATTGTTTCTACTGGAGAGTTGTGTCTTTCAATTCTGGAAAGGGAAATATGCTAATATGTATTAGAGTAGGCTAACCTCATAACAAGCATTAAAACTTTATAGCAAATAGGCCTGCAAATGGAGTGGCTTCCCCATAAGATTATTTCTCATATAACAGGGCGGGGCAGATGTTCTAGGTCAGCGGGATCTTCTGCCTTCCTCAGCATATGGATCCTAAGATCATTTTGTTCCGCTTTGTCATTTCCCCTCACAGGAAGGCGAAAATACACGGGAGAAATTATCAGCCATGCCTGGAAATGGCTCATATTACTCCCGTTCATATTCCATTTGAGAGCACTTGGTCATTTGGCCCCTTAGTTCTTTAGGAAATCTGAGAAGTGTTGTCTAGCATCTAGGAAGAAGAGGACAGTGGATTTTGGTACACTGCTGTTATTCTCTGTCACCTATTTTTTCTTTGAAACTTTCTTCCCTTCCATTTTCTGCTTCCTAGATTTCCTGTTAGGGTTGAATTTCCAGGATTGATTTCTTAGTTCTTCTGTTTTCCATTTCTTATCTTTGTATGTGTTGGAAGATGTTAATTTTACGTGTAATTGGAGATAAACTCTATTGAATTTTATTTTCAGCTACTCTAATTTATAAGAACTCTTTTTTGTTCTCTGATTATTCCTTCTTCTCATCTCTTGTACTTCTGGTTCTGTGACCTTAGACAAGATATTACACCTTTCCAAACCTCAGTTTTCTTATCTGTAAAATAAAAATAAAATTTGTAATATTACCTTCATACTAAAATAATGTTGCATTATATGCCATTGACTCTGCATCATCAGAAAGATTTGTGTTTTCAGCCAGGGTTCTGCCGATTACTTACTATAAGATCGTGGGTGGGTTATCTAACTTCCTTATGTCTTGGTTTCCTCATTGCAGTATGGAGTCAATAGTAATACCTACATCAGTGAGATAATGAGATAATGCTTATGAAGCACAGCATGTAGCACATGGGACTCAGGAACTACTAATCTAAGAAATTATTATCTGTATTCCTCTTAAGAGCTGCAGTTCCCATGGAAACATGTAAACAATTTAAAACAAATATAATAAAGGCCATATACAAGTGTCAGAATAACATTATAAAGTGCTCGTTTGCAGCTCACATGGATCTGCAAGTCTTAATGGACCCACAAGGATATGATTTGCACAGCTGGTCATTGGTGAATAAGGCCAAGGTGATCAATTTATACCCACTTCTGTAGATTCTAAAATGTTAAGCTCTAAAGCACTAGACATTATCCTCAAGGGGATGGGAAGCCACTGAAGAGTTTTGGAGAGAGAAAGAGCGTCAGATTTGTGTTTCAAGAAATGAGGATAAATTAATAGTAGTTTTGAAAAGTGAGCTTATAAAGAAATGATCCCTTGAGAATGCCAAAATGTGTTGTCCTAGAGATTGTGTTGACTGATGTAGAAGATCAGGGGTATGGATGATCTAAAGCAATACCTTCTACGCGGTGCCCGGGTGGATCAATCTGTTAAACATCTGACTCTTGATTTCAGCTCAAGTCAGGACGATGAGATTGAACCCCGTATTGGGCTTTGTGCTGAGTGGGGCCTCTTGAGATGATGTCTCTCACTCTCCCTCTGCCCCTCCCTCTTGCTCAGGCTCTCTCTTGCTCTCTCTCTAAAAATGAATTACTTACTTAATAATTAATTAATAGCAATAAGTAAATAAATTTAATTAACTTCATTTCTTTTCTGCATGGTAAAATGTATATACATTTGATACATTTACATATCATATATGCTTTATGAAAGATATAAAAACAGCATAATTGGATATTTATTTAGAAAATTAAGTTGGTGAAAAATTATGTTACATTGAAGAAAACAACTTCTCTTCCATTTCTGTAAATAATACAGAAGATAAGCAGCTAATTCTAAGTGTTATTTATTAATAATTTAACTGCTGGAACATATTACAGATCTACAGTGAGCCTTTTGATCTGTGGTGTGCATGGAATGCATTAATGTGTAATTGTGTGCCATGGCTCCCACCCTTTGTCCTACAGAAGGGGAGTTACAAACCATAAAAAAATTGGTGCAAGGAAGCCAGGCAGGGGAACTAGACTAAGGTAGACGTGATGTCCACTTGCAAACAAGGCATGGAGATGAGCAGGAAGGAGTCAGATGGAGGAGACCCACCTACTTCATGAGAGTATTGGGAGGCTTAACAGGCGGAAGCTCCAAAGCAGCTACACAGTGAATTGGAGGAGGGAAGGGAGTTTAAGAAATGATGCTGTAGGTTTTAAGTGAATATTTTTTTGTAATTTATTTTACAGAAAGGGAGCAGACACATGAGTGGGGGGAAGGGCAGAGGGAGAGGAAGAGTGAGAGAGAGAGAACCTCAAACAGACTCCATGTTGAGCCCCGTGTGAGGCTTGATCTCACAATCCTGAGATCATGACTTGAGTTGAAAACAAGAGTCGGCCGGTCACTTAATCAATTGAGCCACCTAGGCACCCTGATTGGAATATCTTTAAATGGCTTTTTTTAGATGACTTTTTACTGTTAGATTATGTTTATATGTGACTCTAAAATTTGTGGGACCTTGGCTTTTTAATAATTGGGATTACATATAAAGTTTACGGAGTATGAATAATCGGTAAATCTTTATTATACTTTATTTGAAAATGTGTTTATGTCCCATTTGATGGTGTGTTTTCTGATTAATTCATATGACTACAATTCATATACAAATTATTTGATGCAACAAGTCATTCAGTTTATAAACAAATTATTAAGTTGATTTAAGTAAAAGTATTCATTATTCATTATATTTGAAATATAAACTCTATTCATTAGTCACCTGTATCTACCAGTGATCCTATTTTAATGAATAAGTCTTAATAGATAATTGTATGTCATTTTTTTCAGTATTTAAGAAGAAAAACTTAAATAGCTTTCATTCATTTTTTCTAGTATATGGAGAAAATAATTTTTAATTGCTTAATTATTGGCCACTTTGTTAATATACAGATTTCTAAGACTCCATTTTCATGTAATTATAGCACACAATAGAAAAATAGGAATTATTTAAGAATAACTTCTCCAATTTTGATCACTAGAAAAGCTTTATAAAATGTCTTACCATTTCTTCCAGAAAGTTAATATCTAGTTTAATCTATAAGGTTAAAACTGCTCCTTAGTTCATTTATGAAGGGCCTTCAATAATAACAGTACTAGTACTAATAACAGTACTAGTAATAGTAACACTAATAATAGCAATAGTCATGGTAGAAGTTTAGACCATATTTATGAAATGTTAGGTCTTGCTTTACGTATATACATATATAATAGTGCTATGGGTAGTTAGTATTGCTGTTGTTATTGTTAGTTTGTTATAACCTATTTTATACATGAGGATACTGCAGCCCAGAGAGGTTAACTAACTTATCCAAAGGCACATAGCTAGTATGATATAAACCCAAGTAGTCTGGCTCCAGAATCTGTGCTCTCAGAATACTATCCAGCTCTCCATTCCTCGAGCAGTCACAGTCTACAGTGAGAAGAGACAACTCACTATTGTTACTTTATGGTACATCCAAAACGGAGCAGGTTTTAAAGTAGAAAATTGCCAAATAGGCAC